ACATTCATGTTGCACACTATCTTCTGCAAGACAAGATATTCCAATAGTGTGCTAAGAGTTCCCATGATCAGAAATTTCAGAGAGAATGAGGGTAATTATGGCATCCTTAGAGATGGGCAGCATTGTCTTGCCCAAGGGCACACCAAAGTAACCCCCATCAGCTAGAGGTTGGATAGTGCCCTGGAGAAATGCTTCGGGTGACTTAGGGTAGAAAACAGTGTTGATCTGCAGGGTATAGGCTAGGTATAATGCAACAAGGCAAAGGGAGCTTTGCTTTGCTTTTTCTTGTGCTATAAAACTGAAAGAAGTCAGTCAACCAACCACCTCAGTTTTCCTCCAGCCTTCCTTGTTTCTCTGCTTGAGGTTTTCATTTGGCTTACAGACTTCCTGGTGATCACAATCACAGATTTGGATTTGGGTATCTGTTTTGGAGTTGATACAACTGGGGAGCTAAATAAGACAGGGCCTTATTAAGGACATTGCACTGCATCATTGTGTTTCTTCCCTCTTGAGATATTTCTGATTAGCTGCCTGAAATACAGGTTTCACAAGGAACTCCTGTGGCACAGAAGTTTGTCTGGCAATACTAATTGAGAAGAAATGGCCCAATTAAGAAACTCATTGTACTTTTCCATTTCTAATGGCAAACTCTGCTACAATTTATGTCCTGTAGGAAGAGTTTTCAAATTTTGAAAGGGTCCTCATTATTTTTGCAGTGACAAGCAGAGCAACTCATGCATTCATCTGTTTGGAAGTCCCCAGAATGAAATACTGTAGAAAGGATAAGCAAAGCCTTCAACAAAAGCACACCTCATCCTCAGCTTCTTCAGTTAATGACCAGCTTTCAAATGACATATATATGCTTACTAATATAATTGAAAGCATTATGTAAATAATTGTTTCAGGTAGCAAACCAGAATGATATCCAGGCCAGCCAACAACTAGTACATGCCCCACTCAGGGGCTCAGGAAAAGCCTTAAACAAAATTTCTCAGCTTCATCTAAAACAGAAAGCCTGACAGAATTTCAGGGACTATCCCCCCCAAAAAATCCACTTTTTCAGTGAAAACTCATAAGCAACAGGAGACCAGGTACAGAGTGCACTCAAAACACCAGCTCTGAACATCTGGTCACATCTCTGCTAGCAGCTGCCTCTAGCAGGAATGTTTCCCCAGATCCTGCCATTTCAGTGTCCCCTGCTGGCACCCAGCTTAAACCCCCAGGCCTTGTCATGGGTTCAGTACTAAAGTCCTTCTACTCCTTCAAGTTCTCAGCTGAGAATTTTCCAAAGGAGAGGATACACCTATATGGAAATAGAGTTTTTCCAGTTAAACCATTTCAGGCACCAAAATCTGCCTGTCCCAAACACACACACCAGAATTTTTAGCAAGGCAAATTCTCTCCTTTGACGAGTAAACAGCTGATCAGGACAAACAGGTCAGCAGCTAGCTGAGCAACATCTAGAGCTATTGCCCAGATGATTTACTGGCCTTTGAATAATATTATTTACTTCAAATAAGCCCTACTGTTAAAAGGGAGAAGAAGAAGGTACAGTGAACTTGTTACCTATAGGAATATTCCACATCTGTAAACCATATTCTTATCTGATGTCTGTAGAGTAAAACTTTTCCAGGTTGTGTACAGTGCTTCAACATGATCCCTTGTGCTTTGCATTACTTGAACACTTACTATATAACACTGAAGAGCAACTGAAAAGAACCGGTTTATTTTCTGTACATGATTCACTTCTATTTCCTTCATCATAGCCCATTACTAAAGCAGTGAATTCCTACTTGTCTGTAGGAGTTGGTAGTGCCACCTTCTTTCCTCTTCAGAGATTTAGTTAATGACTGGCTGCTACTGAAAATCTTAACATTTGCTCTCTAATGCCTGGCTGCATGACCAACCCATTCATTTTGCAGTCGCTCTGGCCCACATGTCCTTCTACAATCCAGTTCAAACCCACAAAACACTCCCTCCTCCACTTTTGTTAAGTTTGTTTTCCCCCATTTTATTGTATTCAATCATCTCATAGGAGTTGGCCAAGCAGCAGAAACTGCACAAAGCCAGCAGCTTTCTGGGCAATGTCTGATTTCCATCAGCAGTGAGCTGATAACTTGCCTCAGTGCATCCCGAGAAAACATACTGAGCCATCGGAACAATCATGTGAACATGCCTCATCTACAGAGTTTAAAACCAGATTAGCTTACCTCCTACTAAAGATTCTTTAATCCACATTGATTCAAAGCTATTGCTGAAGAAGAAACACAACCAATGACTGATGTAATGATTGTAATGCAAGGTTGAAAGCAGAGAAAACCAAAAAGACACCAGATTTAGCAACCACAGTTATGAGTGGTTTCCACACAAAGAACTTTATTTTCATAAATACAGCAGTGGAAAAGCAAACTTCTAAAGGAGGGGAAAAAATAACTTTATGTCCATATGTTTAATAAAAACACTTTCTCCAAGACAAAAATCATTTACATTCTGATAACTCACATTCAAAAATAAATAGAGAAAGGCAGCAGGGCATAACATTCAAATGAATAACTAGTAAAAGGTAGTAAAGTTATTTTTATTAATAATCAAGAATATAACACTGCAATACTTAATCTTGAATTTGTATGTACCAATGCCATATCCTACACAGCAACAAATCAAGATATACACACCATAAGGAGCATGTTCAATAACTCCTGTTAAAGTGAAAAAGTAGGAATCATATTTAACAAAAAATCTCCTCCAAGCTGGTAACAGAAAACCCACTTTGAGCAGTAAACAACAAAAATAAACACTGAAATAACGCAAGAAAACTAATTTAAAAAGAAAACCAATTATCAAATAGGAATAATGATATAGGATTACCTCTCCCCCAAATAGCCAATCATTTATTTTGCTCTAACGTAGGTAACACAGCACACAGGAAAGTTACTGTATTCCAGTACAGTACTAAAATGCAGGCTCCTGCAATTTGGTCCATTTGCATGTTGCTGATTATTTTAGCCTGTCACAAAAGCAAGGATAGTTGTGTCCCTCAATCTTTGGGTAAAAACCAGAGAAATTACATTCTTCATCACAAAAGCAAGATTTTGGGAAATGTGTGGGGTTTTTGGTTTTTTTTTTTGCTTGTTAAGCATACTTAGTTTATTTCATTCATGCAAAAGCTGTGAATTAATACCATTCCAGATGAGGATTTTACCTTAAAATTTAAATAGTAATAAAATCAGAGGACACTGGAAAAAAGCTTAATCCACATAATATCTTGGTGCTGAACTCAGTCAAAATTGCACTAATCTCACACATTTGCCTTCTTAGAGACACAGATGTAATGATTCATTCAGAAAAGCTAAGACAAAAATGTAAAACAGATAAAAACTATACTTACTCATTTTTACCTAAGAGGTTCAAACATTTATAAAGCTACACATAACCTCCAAAGAACATGGACACTAAATTGTTAAACAAACTACAAGTAACCACTGCAGACCTGACGGTAATACTAAAAAAAAAATAAATGTGTAATATCATTATGCTATCAAATTCTTGCATTTCCTAAAAATGTAAATGCAAATCAGAAGTTACAGTTCAAATGTGTAGAAAGCTTGAAATGAGTATTCAGGTGCATACCATTATTAATATTCTGTGTTAGCCACATAGTATATAAATATATTGGAATTTTAAGTAGGGGAAAATACATCTTTTTTTGAGGTAAGGAGAGAGAAATTTAACAGGATTGTATCTCTGAAGGTGCGCAGAGTGTCCTGGGTCACTTGCTGAAGCAAACAGCTACGGGCAGGTGTGTTCTGCAGCAGAGCAGGGGCTTGCAATGGACAGGGGCATTCAGTGTGGTTTTCCTGAGCCAGGGAACCCCAGGGGAGCACTGAGACCCACCTGCTCACAAAAGAGGGGCCAAGAGTAATGGCTCCTCCAACTCCCACAAAGGGCAGCCCCAAGGAGTGCGGTGACCAGTGTGGCACAGCAGTTCATGCATTCCACATGCCGCCTGCACAGGTCAGGTCACACGTCCTACCTGACCCACAAGGCAGAGTGGTGGGCACATGCTGGAAAGCATAAGCAGCAGCCCCATTTGGGGGACCTGTACTATCTACACCAGTTGGTGGTGGCTGAAGCCTTTACTCACATGGAGGAGCTGCAAGGAGAGGCTACAGTGCAGAGCTTGACTTGCAAGAGGTGCCCAGACCCTTCTCCTGGGGCAGGAATCGGCAGCAGGCCAGACTTGGACCTGCTCAGGCGAGTTGAGAGGAGGGCACAGAGATGATTAGAGAGCTGGAGCACCTCTCCTATGAAGACAGGCTGAGACAGATAGGGTTGTTCAGAATGGAGAAGAGAAGGCTCCGGGGACACTTTCTATCAGCCTTTCAGTACCTAAAGGGAACCTATATGAAAGCTGGAGAGGGACCTTTTATGAAGGCATGTTGTGATAGGACAAGGGGGAATGGCTTTAAGCTGACAGAGGGAAGATTTAGATTAGATATTAGGAAGAAGTTTTTCACTATGAGTGTGGTGAGACACTGGAACTGGGTGCCCAGAGCAGCTGTAGATGCCTCAATCCTGGAAGTGTTCAAGGCCAGGGTGGATTTGGCTTTGAGCAACCTTGTCTAGTGGGAGGTGTCCCTGCCCATAAGCAGGGGGGTGGCACTAAAGGTCCCTTCCAACCCAAACCAGTCTACAACAAACATTCTGTGATTGCCTAATTGTGCCTTAGGCACTGTACTCAACTGAAAAAAATATGCCAGTTTATGCCAGTTTTGGTAAGTAAATTGGCAAAGCAATCCCCTGTACAATCACAAACCAAATATATTCACACTCTGACGTTACACAGCCTCAAAAACTACATGATCTCAAAGCATATTATGGAGCAAACATATTCTCTCCTTCTTGCAGGAACAGGCACAGGAGACCTGCCTGAAGTCCCCCACATCCACATCAATGCATTCATTTTTAAGCAGAATCCATATCTCCCAATTTTGATATTCATTCTCAGGACTCAATAGAACAAGTGTCATCTATCATATTATGTTACATTGACATACATTATACTATAATTATATTTATGTGAGAAATCCAGTTTGCAAAGATTACAAATGTACCAAGCTGCTAGTAAACAGTTGCTCTATCTACATATGACAGTGCAAGTTAGCAGTGTCATAAAGGCACTTGTCTCTCACAGACAGTATTGTCTTTTCTAATCAGTCAAAAATAGATCTAAAAATATTTAACATCCAAAATGTTTTTTACTCCTTAAAGTGGTGCAAATCGTCATCTATAATCAATTAATTCACCATCAAAGACCTAAGTGCAAAGTATCCATAATTAAATGTATCTTTATAATTAATTCATTTTAGTGCCATGCTCTCAAAAAAAATGCCTAAAACCATGCTATAGTAGAAATTTGATTGGCACTAGCAACGACAAATGAAAAGGCAGGTGCATACAATAGAATAAGCAAGCTTATTTACAAAGTTACTAAAACAATTAAGTGCTGGGTTGCAAGAAGAAGCATTTGCCATAAGTCTTTTCCAAGACATGCTTAAAGCCACACCTGACCAGTATGAAACATGTAACATGCATTTACATCATTTGGGACATCTTTATAGCTACCTAATTTTACAAAAATAATTTCAAAAATGTTCATTCACTTTAAAGTGGTTTGGGTTTTCACTGAATGTGAAAAGACAAGTCCAAACCAGAGCTAACAACAAAGTTGAAAAAGACACCTAAGTAGCCACTATACAAAATTCAGTGCAGCTTTCAGATTACCAATGTATAAGTTGCCAGTATTTATGGATGGCAGTGTGAAATCCCTTAAATCCAGTTTATCTGGTCAGTATATATGTACAGATTTCCCCCTTCAAGTCTCAGCAACTTAAAGCAACTTAAAATTTGACAATTTCCAACAACAAAAGACCTGGTTTTAGAAATCAAAGGGCTCAGGTATTAAAAAAAAGACATAATTGGCTTTGCCTATGTAAATGTTAATTGGTAGTTGGCATTATAGCTCCATTAGCTGAGAAATCTAAACACCCAGAAAGGTGTGAGGGATGGAATAAATCAACTACAGCCCAAAAGCCAGCAGGTTTTTTGCCCTTTGCACATTAAGAGTATATCCAGACTGCTGTGAAGTTGTTGGATGGAGCCTCATGCTTGAATATTAATTTCCATGTCCAGTCTTCTGTAAATAATTTTGCTAGTACCATACCCTAAGGAAGTTTCTGCGTCTTTGAAAAATCTGCATCCACTGACCATTGCACAAGGTTATTAAAACAAAGACAGGAGGAAAAAAAAAGAAGCCATTTGATCAAGTATTAAGCTAATCCTTCAGAGAATCACACTTTCTTTACTTATAGCAATGACCAGAATTGCTGATGGTGTACTGACAGTTTCCATGGAAAGTGGGTGACTGCGTGGGATAGCAGACATACAGCCAAGTCAACTGCTTATGCAATCTTCGTGATACAAGCAAGCACAGAACACACCACTTGTATTATGTGCTGCCTATGATCTGCATAAAGTGCCAAAGGAAAAAACATTCCTCTCTGTCAGGCCATGGCTATTTCAGTATTCCCATTCATCTGTTTTCATGTCCAGGTAGTAAAGAATATTCTGTGCAAGCTTTACCGCTTGCTTTCTGGCAGTCTTGCACCGCTCATCACCTTGGGGATCAACAGCATCAAGTGCTAGAAGTTGTTTTGTAAGAAGTTCTTCCAATCTCATGTAATTCTTATCTGTTCTGTTTCCATCAAATGAAATCACCTCCTGCTGAATTTGAGACAAGTTTCCAAGAACATTCCAAACTGCTTTATGAGACTGATGTTCAGCAGCAATTTGCTCAGAATACATTTTCCTCTTTTCAAGTGCTTCCTTCAGATCAATATACGTTATGAGAGTTTGAACTTCTATTACTGCTCTTCTCCTGGCTTCTCTAATACAGGGGTTTTTTCCTGGACTCACTTCATCCAAGCGAGCAATTAATCCCTGCAATTCTGCTCTAGATCCCAAAAACAAATCAGAGGCATTCTCAGTTTTTAAAAGTAAAGAATTAATTTCTTTCATTTTCTTCCGGATCTCTTCTATTTTTAGAATGGACTGATTTTGTGCCAAATCATAAGCCTGAGTAGAATCTGCTTCTTCTTCCAAGTCCAGATATTTCTGCAGTTTATTGATCTCTTCTACAACTTCCTTTCTGTAATTTCTGATTTCTGTGTGTCCACAGACATCTAAAGCATCCAAATCAGCAATAAGGCCTGTAAGCACACAAGACAGATGCCTGCAGGTATCATTACTACTCACTCCCATTAGAAGTGCAATGAGAGTTCCTCTTGCTTTGTTCACATCGCACATTACAGAGTTAATTTTGGAGACGGAAGGATGTGCATCATTAGAGAGTGGCAGGGACAGCTGTTGCTTCACACCGCTTTCTATGATCTCCTGAACAGCACATACTTTTGTCAGAGTGCGGTATCTTGCTTTGCGTAGAGAAACCTTCCCTCCAGTTTTCACCTGGGTAAGCCTCAGTACAATGTCCTGAATACCTTCTTCAAACTCATCACTTATACAGTTACCTCCTTTGTAAAAAGGTGTAATCTCACGTTCCACAAGTGACTGTGCCTCCTTGAATATAGCCTCTATTTCCAGTCTGCGTGGATGGTTTGCATTTTGTTCCAGCTCCTTAAGGAGCCTCTCTATTTCCTGAGCAGCTCGCTTTCTGGCTTGCTGAATATCGCCCTTGCCTTCGGTGTCTACAGAATCTATTTCAAAGAGCTGTTTGGTAAGACTCCTTTCTAGTTTCTTGTAATCCCGATCAGTAGATAGACCACTGAAGACAACCACTTGCTGTTCAATCTCTTTGACTTCTTTCTGTATTTCATGCAACCGTTTTATGGATGGGTGTTGGTTACCCATATCCATTCTCTTCGTTTGTCCAGTTTCAGATGAACTACAAGGAAAGTGAGAACAAGACTTGCGATTAATAAAGTGCTATGCAAGCACACAAAACTTTCACAGCATCCTGAATCACTTCATCATTGCAGCTATTTTAAATATCACTAGCAATAGGAATAAACCATTCGGATATTTCATAGCCATTCCTCTGTTTTTTCACACCCCTTTCTCCTGCTCGGGCCGCAGGCGTGATGCTTTAGTTACCACACGACCGGCTCTTGCCGTTTACGCACAACCTCCAGCCCTCCCCTCCCTACCTGTTCCGCAGCCGACGGCATCGCGGAACAAACCGGACACCCGCAGCCCGGGGGAAAACCAGGAGCGGAACCGGGCGCCTTGCGGGTGCCCCAGCCCCAGGGCAAGGCTGACTTCCCCCGCACAGGCCCCACAGCCGGCGCTCCCGCCTCCAAGCCCCTCCGCGGCGACGGGGCCCGAGACTGGGAGAGATGACAACGAGCCGCCGCTAGGGAGAGCCCCGCGCCCCCCTGCAGCGCCCCCACCCGTAACGCTCCCCCGGCCCCCTCGCACCCCGTCCCGCCGTCTCACCCGCCAGGCACCGCAGCCGATGAACCGGGCGCCCGACCCGCCGCTGCGCCACGGGCCGAGCGGCAGCGAGCCCTGCGAGCCCCGCCCCGCCACCGGGAGGGGGCGGACACGGCGCTGCCGAGGGACGCGGCCCCCTCCCCAGCACCGCCCCCGGCCGCCGCGCCGCGCTCAGAGCCGTCCTGCCTTTGCGACATCGCCGTAAAGCGCCAGGCGCCGGCAGGAGATGGGCGATGGCGGCGGCCCGGCTGTTGCGGGGCGGGTGCTGTTGTCACCGTCGCCTCCTCTCCTCGGCGGTCAGCAGCCGCCCCACGGTGGAACGCGGGGACCGGCAGGAGAGCGCGGTAAATCCGGGCGGGACGGTGGGGGCAGCTCCTATGTTTCGGACCCGGTGTGCCGCCAGGCGGTGCGGGAGGCCTTGAGGTGTCCCGGCCCAGCGGAGCCCTGAGCAGGCCCCCCCCCCCCCCGGTAGCTCTCAGCGTCGCTGGGCGGGTGCGTCCCGATAACAGCCTCGTGTTCCCCGAGGCCTCTCGTTGTTTATGTAATTTCCAACCCCCCCCTGTGTTTGTAAATACCACGCTGTGGGGGCGCCGAGGCTCAAGGGGAGTAAAGTGTTTGTATAAGCGGGCGGGGAGCTACGAGCCTCTAGACCCGGGTGTCCCTAGACCCAGCCTCAAAACTTACACGCTGATGTGTGCACACAAGGATGCATGAGGAAAACAGCGCTTAGGAGGACTTCCGTACTTGCTAGTTCTTGCTATCAAGTGATTTAACGAAGTGGAAGATCAGTAATGCAAAAGGGACAAACACCCACACACCACAGCCCTCCCCCTGCTCTCCCAAACTGTTGATTGAAAGAACCCAGAAGTGTTGGGAAAGAGTCACAGATATCTTCTCTGTAGTGCATTTATAAATAAAAGTAGATTTTAAATGTATCGCATTGTTTTCGGTCACGGTAAATGAATGTGCATAATTTCTGAACTCGTGATGGTCACATGTTTTAAGGTTGTGTGGAGTTTTGGAATTTATTTCGCATCAGGATGTTATCTTAAAACTCGGCCAAAGCAGTCATAATGAGTTCTGCCTGTGTTTTCCAGGGCCTGGGTTTCAGCCCCCCCGCGCACTCCCGTAATGACTGGATCGGCCCCCCCGACAAGCACTCCAACCTGCGGCCGGTCATCTTCTACGTGCCCCCCGAGGAGTCGCCCTTGGAGCGGCGGCTGCGGGAGGCGCGGCAGGAGGCGCAGGCCTACGACCAGTGCTTCTGGGCACGGCACAACCGCGCCTTCTGCCGGGTGAGCGGCGCCGCTTGGCTCCCCCCTGCTGCCCACCCACAGTTGGGGTTGGTGTCTGAGGGGTAGGGTGCTGTTCCGCTTACGGTTACTGGCTGGTGATTGCTACTGCTTCTTTTAATGCACACTGTGTCTTAGTGGAAATTACTTTTTTGTCATTCATTTCTTTAAACTGATGTACAGTGCTGAGGAGTCTGTATATTCTGTTGCTGTTTAGTGGCATATAACAGTATTTGCCTTTTTCCTGTCTTGCACTTGTATGGAGTTGTAACCACCCTACGTGCAAGACCTGTCTATAACTGGAGCAGCTGTTGAAAATTATTCAGAGCTTATTTTGCTCTATCATAAGTGAGAAAAATTAAGTACAATCACCAAGGATAAATGAGGGAAGTGTCCTGTTTCACTGGCAGGGTACCCCAACAAGGCTAAAAGTGGGGACTTCTCAGTCACGATCTGTCTTCTTTCCTGATTGGTTAGGAGACACTGAATTTTGTGGGCAGAACAGTAATAGTGTGGTAATTCGCCATCATTTGTGACAATCTTTGATCATCATATCCTCCTAAGACTTGCAAAGGTCTCAGAGGAAAAGCTTAGTTGTTTGGGTTTTTTTTTTCAATTCTGTATAACTGCTTTTTAAGTTTGATAAGCTTACATACAAATAATTATTCTGCTTTCATCTAAGTAATTTCATATTTTTTAACATTGCATGTTTTTCTGCATGCTCAAATTCTCAGTTACACAGCATATCTTCATAGTTTGTCTTACAAACTGAAGGTTTGGATCCTGTCAAGCAATACTGAAGCTCAGCTGTAGCTTTAATCCACAAATAAGTTGTATATATATCAGTAGAAGACTTGCAGGAATTGATTGATGCATGCAGGCAGCAGGATCTAGGTGACAGACTCATTGGATTCAGGCAGGTGTTTTGTTGATGTTTCCAGTATAATGAGTATTGCTTATTATTTCAGAGGGTGTTAAGCACTACACTGCTGTATGATTAAAAACAATGGTTAACTTCAAGGACTGAGTACCTCAGATTCTAATGTGGAAAAACATGTTTTAGGAAAAAGAAGAATTTATTTATTCACGACTGAAAGCCAAGGGTCTGGAAATGAGAGATGAAACAGGTTGGTGAGATATTTGTTTATGGTTCAGGATGCATTCTGAATTCTGCTTAACTTTTAATTTCATTAATATATGCTTTTTGTGTTCTGTCACAAGTAAACCTTGAGGGTAGGACTCAGAAGTGTTTTCAGGAGCATGATAAAGAGGGGAGGAGCTTTTCAGAGATGTGCATGTGGGGGTCAGATCATCTATTGCACTGTTCTTCCCTATGTCCTTCTCACAGCCGGAGGGAATGCACTGAAATCCTGGCCAAGTAATATAATCATCCTGTAGTCTGAGGAGAAAAGGGCCTTTTTCCTTTCACAGTTTCTAAACCAGTGAGCTAGCTGAGCTAAACAAACAGAGCATTTTCCTCAAGTGCATGTTATGGTTGGGTGGATAAATTCACATTCATTGGCTTCAGGTCCATAGTGTGTACAGTGAACACAGTATTTTTCCTTAAGGGAGACTAAGACAGCTTCAGAGGAGACAGCAGCTGATACCTGCTTGTCTCTGCCTGATCACAGTTGCTGTAGAATAGTTGCCTCTCTAATTCATTATGTAAAATTGAAAACCGGATGCTTTCATAATAACAGTGAATTGGCCATTGTGGTATGAGGTTGAACGTTTTATTCATAGAATAATGATCTGTTTGAGTTTAGTAAAGCATCTGCTCTGACATTCTGTATATCACAGACCATTATTTTTCTCTTCTGTTTGTATCCCGGTGACCAGTGTGTGGTTGAGATAAAATTTTAATTAAGTTTTGTGTTATTTCAAAGGCTTTTTTTCTTTTATATTGCCATGTTGGGTTTGGTTGGTTGGTTTGTTTTGGGTGTGGTGGGGGGGGTGTGTTATTTTGTTTTTGTTTTGGGTGGGGATTGTTGGTTTAATACCATAGAAATCAAAGAAAAAATAGTAAGCGGGTACATCCCTTCTAAATAAAATTATATTGGCTGCGTGTGTTGATTAACTTTCTGTAATACAGTTCTATAATACAGCTCTGTGTGTATATAAAAATAAGAGTAATAATATATATGAACTGTTGGAACAAGATGTAATTTTTTGTGTAAGTGAAGCTACAGTCAATTCTTCTGATACCGGCATGAAGAAACAAATTAACTACAGGTGTTAAGTAGTCAGCCTTCAAATAGTCTTAGAGTAAATTTATCCCATTTATCCCATAGTATGTTAATCCATAGTAATATATCAGATTTGTAAATAATGACACATAGGACTGATCAATAATTTACATTTCTATGATCAGTCTCAGGAGCTTCACAGAATAATTGCTATATTGTTAATAAAGCTGACATCTCGGAACATATACTTGTTGGTATAAGTTACCTTGAAATTTATTAACAGCAACAGAAAAAATGTACATCTGAATATCTGTCAGTCACAGCTGGTGTTCTGGTGTTCTTTCTATATTCATTGACTTGCTTGGGGGGGGTGGGAATTAAATTACTAAGTGCTCTTACTTGAGCTGTTTAGACTTCAGCCCTGCAAGAGCTTAATTTTACTCAAAGGTAGATACTCCTAGATCTATGGATTTTTTCATAGGGGTCCACTAATTCCCTAAATAATCTAAGACCTTCTTAAGGTCTTTCAAAAGACCTTAAGACTTTCAAAAGTAATAAGGGTTTAAAAGTTACACCAGCTGCAACGTGGTAAGTATTTTTAATCTCTTGTGTTCCCTAGACTAAGTTTTAAGAAGTTGTAAGATAAAAATGTATTAACTGACTCAGGCTTACACAGGAAGCTTGTAGGAATAAGGGGTCAGATGTAGATCTCCTGCATCTGAATCCAGTGTTTTAATCCAGTGAATTGTGTTGACATTGTTATGCCAAAACTTATTTTCAGGTCAGAAAGCAACACTGAATGCAGAAGAAATGGCTGACTTTTACAAGGACTTTCTAAGTAAAAATTTTAGAAAGCATATGCAGTATAACAGGTATGTAGAAGATATTTATGTTGACTGTTACACATTACAGCCTTAGTGAAAGGCATAAGATGAAATTTGAACATTTTTTCCGTAATTGGTAAAGCAGCATCTAAAACCATCATCTAGAAAATTAGTTTTTTAAATGCTATTATTAGCATTTGTCAGAAATTTGCATTAGCATTTGAGTTCTGCTGCTGCTTAATGTTGATTTAGGGGAGAGATTAATCTCTTATCTGAGATTCAGAGAGGTGATCAGGCACTCTTTTCATTTATGGGTCTTTCCATGCTCCTAACTGAAACAGACAAATATGCAAATAGAAAAGTTTAAATTTCTGTGTAACAGATTCTAGTTGACTGTTAAATAGGGACTAGTACATGTGATTAATCTCAAAGGAAAATTGTACTTAGTACTCTTGGGTTTATTCTTTTGCAAGCATATAGAAAAATGAAAGTGATTATTCTTGAGTTTTTGGTTTCTTGTGTGGCAAAGCATTGCTGAAATGATTTCCTGAATTCATCCTGTGTAGAACCTTACAACCGGGTAAGCCCTGCCTCTTCACAACATCTACTGCATTGTTTTTGCAGCAGTAGTTGATAAATTGAGTTGGGCATCTGAAACAACTGAAAAATTACTTGCAATCACATACACCCTGCAAGTAGCTGTGCGCAGTTGATAGCTAAAAATGAGGAAGGAATGGGAAGCTAGAGGAGAATAGCACTTAGTCCAGTTACACTAGCACCTGCCCACTGCATGTGAACCCACAACTTCAGTTTCTTCTCTGTATTGGACTGAAAGATTTTTGGGCTTAAATGTGTCAAGTGTAACTGGTTTCTTAATGGTGTAATGCTAGTGATAATTCTACCACCACTATAATTGGCCTATAATAAATTGTGGTTTAGGATTCTTGGTATATATTGTGCATACACCATAACATACTCTATTGTAAGAACAATTTTAATGCAAATCTTGTCTTGCCTATGGAGAGAGAGGGTGGGGAGGAAAACCTCACCATAACCTAAGCAGCAGCATGAAAAGATGGAAAGTAAAACATTAATTTTAGTAAGAGGATTATTGTTCAAGTTGGCTGTAACTGGTAAGTGAGAAAGCAAATCATTTGTTTTAGAACTGGTCACCAGATACCATTGCTGTAGTGACCTTGGGATAGTATTCCATTTTTATGGTGAGAGAGTTGAGGTTTTGTGCCTACACATGCCCTTCCTTGTTGCTGCCTTGTATAATCGGGTAGTGTCAGCTGCATCATTGTCGTTTCAAAGTGAAACTACACAGCCCTGAAAGCAGTGAGCTTTTTACAGGCACTCTGATTCTGAGGAGTCATATTTATAAAAATCTGTTTATGCATTCAGCTGTATGTTCTTTTGCAGTGTTGAAAACTGTCCTGAAAACTGGCTGCTGAAGTGTTGCAACTTCTAAAATTTAGTTAAAATTGAAACAATGACTGTACATACACACAATGAATATTTAGTTCAGGGTTCTTAGACTGGAAATACAGTCTAGCAAAAGGATATAGGACATCTGAAAGGATATCTGAAAAGAGAAAAGAAACAGTTTTGATGTTAGCATGATATTTTGATTTAACATGACATTTGAGGGGAGAGCTCAGTGCTGCTTGTCAACACAATTCCGGCTACTATCCTTACCTGAGAGGTTAGTATTTCAGGTTTATGTTAGATCTGTACATGCAAGGTTTCCCACAGAGATCTCAAGAAAATACCCAAATTCCAGAGTTTAATATTCCCTGCTAGTTCTACAGTAAATATATTCTATTGCTTCTTGTGCAGCAAGAAATGACGCAGGGAGCCTTGTTAGAAACTAGAAAGAAATTGTGATATTATCTTAGTTCCTCAAAGGGGCTAGAATTTGAAGCAAGTTCTCAGAGGTTAAAAAAGGGCTGATACAGACTATCCTGTCTGTATCTTGAATTGGTTCCAGAAGCCATGCATGCTTCATAGAAACTATTCGAAGATACAAAGACTTTGGTGTAAGGCATAATCTTTAAAAGGTGCTGCATTAGAAGCATAATGTTTCCTGTACTGGGTTATACAATTACTCTTTGAAGTGTGATTTTTATTTTATTTTTCTTACCCTTGTAAGTAACCAACTATGCCTTTTCCAGCACACATCTTCATACATGTACTAACAAGTCTTACCCATAGCACAGTGCTGGCAGGAAATTCTTCTAGATGGCTTTACTTCTGAAGCACTGCAGGTGCTAATTTCAAATACAGTTTGTCATAAAATTGCAAATCCCTTAACTGGTTAACAGTTAAGCTCTCAATGGTTGTAGCCCTATAGTCCGCATCCATCTGTTCATGGCTGTGGATATTCAATAGACCTTTTCATAGATTATTTAACTCTCATTAGGCACAAAAAGTTCTGCCACAAAGAACTGAAAATGTAGGCCATCCCTGATGATCACTTTGTCAATGCCAAAAGATATTTTAATATAATTGTGTACCTTTCTCCCATTCTTGTTCTATGTGCTGATTTTCCTGGCTTTGGAATCCTAGAGATTGGTATAAACGTAACTTTACTATCACATTCCTCATGGGACAAGTAGCACTGGCAAGAGCTCTGAGGTGCCTTCGTTGGAAGAAGAAAAATGTTGGAAATTAATCATAGCTCCGTGAAGAATGCAACACTAACTAGGCCTGCTATAAACTTGTCGTTTATAGTGATGTTCATAATCGGAATGACTTGTGATAATTGCTTGAATCTGTTAAATTATGTAAATAAAAGTTGCTATTGGTCTTAATTTATAATCACTGTGTTGATTTCCTGTATCTTTTATTCCAAGAATATGTATAATATTTTCCAACCAAGTTGTATTATTAAAACTGTTCCTTGTTTACATTAAATGGAATGGATCACAACTATCACATTTTTACCACAGTCATAGCTCTGAAATAATGTGTGATTTGGTATGCTGGACGTACACTCAGGTTAGAGAATGATGTCTTCCCCCTACCTTGTTAGTTTATAAAGACAGAAATGCCTCATTTGCAGCAGTTGTCTGTCTGGGGCGGCAGCTATCTGTAAGTAATACAAAGTGGCTGAAGTGAGAAGTTACGATTTTTGAGTATACATACAATCAGTTTAGGGTAGTCCTCTTTTCAGTGTGATTATTGTCTGTTTTTAATAAAGATTTAAGATGTTTTCATATAAATTACTAATGCAATAGGATCTTCTTCGATAATGTTGTTTTAATTAAAAGCAACATGCCCCCCTTGGACAAGAGTTCCTCTAACCTGTGACTCGTAAAAATTTTAGTTGCTGAGCAGTGAAACAGATGCACTGCCAGTCACTAAATCCTGCTAGAAAAGGAAGCTGATAGTCGGCTGTGTGGAGGAGAGCAACATTATTACTAATACACACTGCATTCTACTGGTTCATTTCTTTTAAAAAATGTGCTATTCTCACCAGTTTCTCAGAGACACTCAAAACAACTTGCTTGAGGGTGATTCTTCTGACCCCCAGGTACATAACATCAACCGAAGGAGGCTGGTTTAAGTGAAGTCTTAAAATGTTGTGCCATATATCACTGATTTAAAATAAGTTCCATTCCTCAGTATGTTTTCTTTGTTCATTTATACAGTTAAATGATTTTTTTGGATGTGCTGAGAGGATTCTGTTGAAAAGAATGTATGCTGTTAGATGAAGCGTGTTTTCCTAAAGCTATGCTGTGGGGAAGGTTCTGCTTTTGGAAACATCAGCTCCATAACCATTGACCTGTTTTTCGTACCTCAACATGGCATGATTTATTCACAGGCTCTTTTAGCTGGAGCAAAAAGAGCTTTGTCAGTATCATCTGTAATAATTCCTTTGCAAGATGAAATAAATATTAATGATACAGGAGCACTGTTTTGTACCCTCATGCTATCATCAGTGGAGCTAAAATGGTCACTGAATTGTGGTTTTAACTTTTTTTATCAGTAAATGAAAACAGTCATTAATAATGATTGATGAGGTGATAACCAACAATTCTGGAAAATATTGTGAATATTATTTACTGCATTGGTAGTGTAAAAGTTATGTATTTATTAAAAAGTTACAAAATGCCATATTTCTTTAGGGAAAATACATTTTGAAGATAGACTACTCTGGGTATGTAACATAATTCTTCAGGGCTTTACAGAAAATCGTATCTTATGGTATGCAAGCTTTGACCACCATGCAAATGTAAACTTTAATAACTGATTCTGTTGTAAAAGAGTGATTGGGTAATACAAGACAATATCGCTGAAAGGCAGAGACCAGAACCCTGGTGGACTGGTGGTTGAGGTGGTTGATAGCCGTATGTTCTGACAGTCTGTGTGCAAGATCCCTACGGTAGTTTCACATATGCTTTTAAGTGGATCGAAGTCAGTCAAAAGAAGGATTTGCCTCTTTTGAGTTGCTTGCTGTTATTAACACAGACATTTTGTGTCTGCTTGCTGAGCCAGATCAGGAAATTGTTTCATTAGTAGAACTAATCCAAGGAAAAAAGTGTTAGATGTCACTTGAATTAATCTGCCGTGATGCAGATCTGAGTGTTGGTGGGTGGGATTCATATGGAAGGTTTGGATTGCACTTCAGTTAATTCATAGTTAAAAACTCTTTTCTGAACGTGTAATCTTAGTGTTGGTCACCCAACAGTGTACAACTATACAACCGGTATAGTTGGCATGCAATGGATCACACTCTGAGCTATTTGTAGGTAAAGTTCATGCCTTCTGGCATTGCCTTCATAGAGTCTTTCAGATTGGAAAAGACGTTTAAGCTCATTAAGTCCAACCCTTAACCCAGCACTGCCAAGTCCACCACTGAACCATATCTAGGTGTCTTTTAAATACCTCCAGGGACGGTGACAACGCCACTTCCCTGGGCAGCCTGTTCCTATGCTTGATAATCATTTGGAAGGAATTTTTCCTAATATCCATTCTACACTTCACCTTGAGGTCATGTCCTCTTGTCTGTCTCTTGATGCTTGGGGGAAGAGACCTACCCCCAGCTTGCTACAACCTCCCTTCAGGCACTTACAGAGGGTGATCAGGTCTCACCTCAGGTTCCTTTCCTCCAGGCTAAACAACCTTAGTTCCCTCAGCTGCTCCTCATAAGACTTGTGCTCTAGAACCTTCCCCAGCTTTGTTGCCCTTCTCTGGACACATTCCAGCACCTCAATACCTTTCTGGTAGTAGGACCCAAAAATGAAGATGGTATTTGAAGTGCAGCCTCATTGCAGTGCACACTATTTCTGATACAGGCCAGGATGCTATTGGCCTTCTTGGCCACGTGGGCACACTGCTGGCTCATATCCTGCAGTCAACATTGAAGGCGTTGACCCAAGTGTAGGACCTGGGATTTTGCCTTGTTGAACTTCATACGCCTGGCCTCAGCCTGTCCATCCAGCCTGTCTAGATCCCTCTGCAGAGCCTTCCCATCCTCCAGCAGATCAACACTCCCAGCCAATTTGGTGTTGCCTGCAAATTTACTGAGGGTGCACTCGATCCCCTCATCCAGATCATCAATAAAGATATTAAACAACACTGGGCCTAATACTGAGCCCTGGGAAACACCACTTGTGACTGACTGGCTGCCAACTGGATTTAGCTCCATTCACCACTACTCCTTGGGCTTGGCCATCCAGCTGTTTTTTTAGCCAGTGAAGTGTACTCCTATCCAAGCCACGAGCAGCCAGTTTTTCCAGGAGAACGCTGTGGGGAATGGTATCAAAGGCTTTACTAAAGTCTAGGTAGACAATACCCACAGCCTTTCCATCATCCACTAGGTGGGTCACCTTGTCACAGGAGATCAGGCAAGTCAAGCAGGACCTGCCTTTCATAAACCCATGCTGACTGGGCCTGATCACCTGCTTGTCCTGTACATGCTGTGTGATGATCTGCTCCATAACCTTCCTCAGCACTGAGGTCATGTTGACAGGCCTGTAGTTTCCTGGATCCTTCTTTCAGCCATTCTTGTAGATGCACGTCCCAACTCCACGTTTAGTCAGGGGATAAATAATTAATGCTGATAAATGATGGAAAGTGGCTCAGTGAGGACTTCCACCTGCTCCCTCAGTACCCTTGGGTGGATCCCATCTGGCTCCATACATTTGTGTGTGTCTAAGTGGTGTAGCAAGTCACTGACCATTTCTCCTTGGATTATGGGGGCTTCATGCTGCTGCTTATTATCCCTGTCTTCCAGCTCAGGGAGCTGGGTATGGTCTCACTATTGAAGACTGAGGCAAAGAAGGCAGTGCCTCAAGCCTTTTCCTCATCCTTTATCGCTATTTCTCCTGCATCCAATAGAGGATGGGGATTCTCCTTAGTCCTTCTTTTGTTGGTAACATAGAGACATTTTCTATTGTCTTTTACAGCACAGACAGATGAAGTTCTAGTTGGGCTTGGGCACTTCTAACTTTCTCCCTGCATAATCTCAAAACAGTCTTGTAGTCCTCCTGAGTTGCCTGCCCTTCCTCCAAAGGTCATAAACTCTCCCACTGTGCCAAGATGCACTATGCAACCATTCCATCGCCCACAAGTCCTTCTCTCTTAACAAACAACAGGTCCAGGGGTGTGCTTCCTCACCAGCTGTCAGGAAGTTATCTTCCACACTCTCCAGGAACCTCTTGGGATTGTTTCGTCTCTGCTATATTGTATTTCCAGCAGACATCTGGTAAGTTGAAGCTCCCCATGAGAGCAACTGCGAGACTTATCCCAGCTGCTCATAGAGTATTTCATCTGCCTCTTCATTCTGGTTGGGTGGTCTGTAACAGACTCCCATTGTGATACCTGCCTTGCTGGCCTTCCCTCTGATTCTCATCCAGAAACACTCAACCCTGCTGTCACCATAGTCAAACTCTAGACAGCCAAACAGTCCATAACATAGAGGGCTACCCCAATACCCCTCCTTCCTTGCCTACCTCTTGGGTAGTGTACAGCCATCCATTGTGGCACTCCAGTTGTGTGAGTCATCCCACCATGTTTGGGTGACGGCAACTACTGCATGGGTTTCCTGCTGCACACTGGTTTCCAGCTTCTCCTGTTTGTCACCCATGGGTGTGTGCACTGGTGCAGATGCACTTCAGTTGGGTTATTGATCCTGCCACGTTTTTGGAGGGATAAGCCCCAATTCTTACATCAACCGTTTTCAGGCGCTTCCATGGTTTCTAACACATCAATAACCTTTGCATCTTTGCTGCCACATGGATCTCCCTCCCCTACCTCCACTGAGACAGCAGACCGAAGGACCTCACTAGCACATCATCCCACAAACACTGGTGTGCTGCCCCATCTCTAGTGAGCCTGGTTGTATCCCTTTCCCCCTTCAAAATCATTAAGATTCTGTATCGAGGGCTGGGTCCTTTCATCTAAAGCTGTTTGAAGGAGTCATGTATTTATCTATTGGGTAAGTGTTGAGCTCTGACTTAGAATAACTAATAAAGCCACTGTGAAAAGATGTTACTAAAAGTAATCCATCTGAAGTTTTGACTCTCATTACCAAAACCACATACATTTACTGAGATAATTACATTTTCTGAACAGCCAAAAGCCATATCAGTTTTGCAAGTGTTGCATTACTTTGTAGGTTTTTTTTCTTGACACAGAGCAATTGTAATAATGCCAGCTGCTTTCAGATATTATTGATTATAAATCCTTTATACATGAAAGGAAGAATAAGGAGCTGCCACAGACTACTAAAAATACTTTTTTTTATGTATATGAAGGCCTCCTACAATAACTGAGGCTGGTGAAATAGATCAAAGAGTGACTTTTCTGTGTTCATT